CGAATAGGGTATCATTTTCCAGGAAACAGATCAATTGGTTCAAGATTTTAGCCTAGACTAAGGAAACCGGGAATTGCCACTAAAAAAATGTTTAAAAAAAAATCAAATCGGCATCATATCTAGGATAAAGGGCGGGGGATTTGAAGAGTTTAGTCCAGTATAGGGTAGCAAAATTCAGCTGAACTAGCTCTGGTGTAGGCTAAGGGTTCCAGGGTCCCAGCGGCACATCCCCACCCAGAAATTCCTAAAGTACTCCCCTCCCCGGGCCTAAGGGTTATATTTATTTTGTTAACTGTGTGTATATGGTTACTCCATTTGTTTCTACTTCATGGTAAGAATAGCATCGCAAGCAAATGCCCATCAACGAACAGCGACCTCCGAAGCCCAAGAAAACTCGAGGAAAATACTGAAGACAAGACAGAAGCCATGCTTGATATCTCAGCGAAACCACAGACTACAGAGAATACTTCACAAACAACCATTTCAACAACTGTTCTATCGTGCAACTGCAGAAAATATTGTCCAGCTGTTAACAGCACCAAACTAGAGGTAAGTTACCGCCGTTTGTTTTCGTATATGGTGATGTGCGAAGTTGTTTATTGAGGAAATGCCATATGAGTAGCAGTTGAGTTATTTCTTAGGTCAAAATGTAAGGCAAGACAAAAGAGTAAATAATCTCAACTTAGTCCCGAGTACGTTTCGCCATTTTGAAACGGTAGAGAAATCTTTATCTGAAAAAGTCAGTTCAGGGTTACAAAAAATTCTAGGCCACGAGTGGTCGTCCTTCTTTCCTCGGAGCCACGCGCAGTGAGCGAAAAAGTAAAATTATGCGAATAAATTATTTTTTCTTTGCTTAACATGGGCTTCCGCCCTTGTTCCTCGCTGCTTCGCCACTTCCCCCACCCCCTCCAACGCATGTTCTCGATGTACTGTGTCTCACAAGAAAAATAAGAGACTGCTCGCAGTCTAAAAAAAATTATCAAGAATCATGGCTCTTTCATCCTTTACATTTGCTTCACTTTGCTTGTGGTAAAGCCTCGTTCTTCCCTTTTTCTATTTAGCGTTTTTGTCTGACATTTTCTCAATTATTCATGAATGATATCAGTCTATTTGAGCCGAAGGATGCACATGCTTAATTTTTTGTCTAATGTTAATTTGATTAACGTCTTTTAAAGCTTGTGTGGTTTGAAAACAACCCCATCTTCTGTAAGAAAAGCTGGACAACTTGAAATCGAGAAGAGACCTTATTTGTAGCGTTCTGCTCCTTCGATTGCTGTCGGAAGTGCAACTTGCAGTACTATAACTGTGTGTTAAACCCAGCTAATAATCAAGCTCACTAGCCAGGCTTATGGTTGTGCGTCAAAATACTTGACCGAAAGTTCCATGAACATAACGATAGAGGGACTGGTGACATCAAGAATCTGAGGACAAAAATTTCAAATTAATGACTAAAATGCCGCGGTATGGTGAATGAAGAGAAGATCACCTGGAAAACGGTCGCGCAAAGAAACTGTATTTCTAAGAATAAAGAAAAATGCCAAACAGCTCGTCAGTGTTTTTCTAAAGGTACTGTTGTACCTCTATTAAGCCCCCACCTCCACCACCCGTAAGGGAAATTTTTTCGAGAGTATTACCCAGATACTATAGCGAGAATGTTTTGTCAGGAATTTTAGGAGTTACCCTAACAAAAAGTTTGACAACCTGCTATAGAAAATAGCATGATTGATTAAAGCATTTGTTGGCGTTGCTAACAGGGAACTTAAGGCTATGTTTACAAAGTAGCGGATAGATTTGACGCCGGCACAAAAATCGTACTACTAGTTCAAACATAAAAACGGTGATTTCGGCGCGATTTATGTAACGGAGCGATACTGCGTTGCGCCAATGTTGAAGATTGGGAGTCCTCGAATAGGTGTTTATAAATCGATGAAGCGGCCGATTTAGCTCTAGCCTGTTCCAGGCGTTTAAAATTTGGAATGCGGCACAAAGTCAGAGCAGCTGGGAAAAAAAATAAGGAGGGAGAGGTGGAGAGAGGAGGAACCTTCCTTTGCTCGGCTCAACCCACGCTGTTTTTCTTTTTCACATCTTTTTGTGCTGTCCACAGAAACTGAACGCCTGGAACAGGCTTACACGGCTCAGTTGACCTGGGTAATGACTATTTAACGAATAGATTCCATGTTGCAGTGCGCTGTGCGCCTGTTCAGTAATTCCAGATGACTTCAAAATGTGGCAAAACAAAAATGCGGCACTGAGCTGCACTGAGCGGCATGCGAGTGTGTCACTGATGTTTTAACCAAATTTTGACGTCTTCTATGATATTAGTGAACAGACCCAGGGTTACATGGAATCTATATAGTTTACATAATGAGCAGAGAAGAAGCAACGACATACTTGCCTCGTACCGCTTTACTGTTCGAGGATTTGTCCTAGATTTTCAAGTCGTTCAAGAACTTGTCTCGGTTTATTGTTTTTTTTTTTCTTATCTATAAACAGCTCCTGGTAAGCCACTTTTAAAAGGCTTTCACTTGCTTCAAACGAACTGCAAACAATTTCAAAATCGCGTCCGTGTTGAACAAAAAATAGAAAAGCAAGTCTCCACTTCATCCATCATGGGTCTGTACTCTAATATATCATCACCACATTGTAAAAATGCGTGATCAATACATGGATATTGTGATCGGTTAGATGGGTACATGTAACTTGCGAACCAGCACCCAGGTATGAGATCTTGCGCAGGAGAATATTGTGGTCCACGCCATCAAAAACGTTTAAAAGATAAAATAGTATAAAGATAGAAATCTATTTAGCGTCCATGGCCAGTCCATGTCCATCCTTGTCATCCGTTGCAAAAAAGACAACAGGAGACAGTTTAAAAGGCCAAATATGAAGTTTTTAACAACAAATCTCGGGACCATTATATTTGGAATTCAAATTATGCGCACTAAAATTGAAAGGGTTTTGCTTTTTAAATTGATAGCCCTGACGAGACCTTTTAAGACAGTTTTGTTTAAAATAATACAAATTGTTTGACTGCCGTTGTGATCATGAGTCGAACGTTAAACGAGCTTATCAAAGAGGATTGATCATATATAATCAAAAACAAGCTTGCTTGTAGCATTTACGTTTTTTAATGATAACAAAGAAGAAGGAGAAGAAAAGAAAACACTTAGACACTTTCTCATAAGTAAGTAAACTTTATTAAACTCGGCCTTGAATATACTAAGGCCGATCTGTCGAGACCTTTGACTGATTATTTAATTAAAACTTTTTTTTTTTTTAAACTTGCGTTTAATTTTTAACTGCACGTCTAAATAAAGAATGTCAATGTATATATCAATGTCTTAAACACGGCAGACATGCACCCGGACTGACTTTCACTACAACAGGGGCACCCAACGACAATTTTCGGAAAATATCTGTTCGGAAGACGATTTGAGATCTAAAATTTTCGGAGCATTTTTTTCCAAAATTTCTTGCTTGTCTGCCTCTCCTAGGATTTTCGAACATCTAAAAAATGGTATAATTGCCCATTTTTAACGGATTTTTACCCTAAAAAGGTCACCTCCAATTTTCGGGAGCCTTTTTTCTGGCTGAAATTTTCGAATAGGTAAGTTTTGATCCCTATAATTTTCGAATCACTAGCCTCTCAGCTAGGAAATCCGAACAGATGAAAAATTTTTAGGGGATAAAAATTTGCCTATATCTACCGTTTTAATACTAAAATACGTTTAACAATGCTATGTTTAAGTGGTTTTGAACTATATTCTCGTTGGGTGCCCCTGCTACAATCTTCTATGAATGCTAAAGTGAAAAGAATAAAACCAGATTTTGCATTTGACGGGAGCGTTTTTAAGTTGTAATGCAAAAAGATTTTCATGGGGATTTGCGAGTCGGGGGTGTGTTCGAGCAACTCGCTCGCTTAGTTATAGCCATGAGATACCAGGAGTCTGATTTACATTGGTCTTCACTAACAATCTTAATCTTAATCTTCTTACTCCTCTTCTTTACTCAATCCTTACTCGGCGGAGAGTAAGTAGTTCAAGTGTAGTAGCGGTTTTTATAGTCAAAGCTGGACATGTTTGGGTAACTGACCGTAGGAATAAAAACAAGGTAAACTCGCGGCCGTGTAGGTAATGTTTTGGTATTACTGAACATACGTGGCTGCGATTTACAAGAAGCTACAAACCGATGAATAATTAAAACGCTTTTAACAAACCCAAACAGGAACTTCAAAGAGACTAATGAATGAACCAAGGACAGCTCTGACATGAAAAACACGATTACGTATATGAAAAACTAACATCCGACCATGGCAAGAGAACAATATTCCTAATTAAAATGGCATTAAGTAAATCCGCGAGCTAAGCAAACTTTCAAGTAGAAGTCTGAAAATCACAAAATAAAAAAAAGGAAAATGCCTATGCGCACCAAATCCAAATTAACCTTGACTCACCTAGTAATAGAAAAACGAAACTTAGAAGAAATACAAATCTTAAAAGTAACTATTAAAATACTTCACAGCAGTTGTAAAAGTTTTATTAAATTGATCTAATTTCTTTTTGTTAAACAGTGCAGGTTCACGTTATCATTGGGGTTCATAAATGCGTTAATTTCAGTCGAAATTAGACAGCTGGCTCGGGCTGGGAAAAAATGTGCCTTAGTTTATTAAAATCTAAAAATGGTTAAACAATTAAACTTATAATGAAATTAAAGCTTAATTACTCCAGTAAAATAGTAATTTACGCAAATCACAAAAATCATTATCAGTTTTACTTTCCTCGACTAAAAATAAAATAACGTAAAAAAAAAAAAACTTAAAAAGGTAAACAAGAACTATATTCCTGTCTCGTGTTTAACAAAGATCAAGAAAAGAAAGAAAGAAAGATTTTCTACGTTGTCGAGAAATATACATTGAGAAGTACATTTTTTTGAAGGTAGTAAGTATGTTAATATAGCTGCATGTTTTTTGGCCGTAAATAATGAAATGGTTCTTTTTATATTTATTGAGTAGGGTCAAGATAAAATACCTCCACCTCATCAGGTGAGAAGTACTCAGTCCCGGCCAGGATTGTGTCCGGGTCCTGCACTGCAGCAGGAGCACGGTAGTACATGCCAAGGCCTGCGTATGAGCGGCTGTTACGGTTGGCATTATTAGCAATGTAGATGTCCAAACCAAACCGTGGACCATACCATGACGCCCTGTGAATTGCCTCGTATGTCCACCCCACCTCACTTACAAAGGGATCCAGTTCTTCTTTATTGCTGATTGAAAAAATAAACGCCTTGCGAGTGAAGCCATTCCAACCACTGGACGGATCTAACAAACCAACAAAACGTAAGTATTAACTTTTGAGTAAACACTGAGGTGTAGTTACTCTGTAGTGTATTTTCCTTAGTTTGAATTTTATTTATTTATTTATTTTTATTCTTGACTTTGAAAGAATTATCATAAACTAAAACAAAACAAATTTAATAAGAACCATGAGTGAAATGGAATCACACATTTTTTTCAACTTTCCTTTTTTTTCTTATTTTCCTCCCTTTGTTTATTGTATTGCTATTCCTTACAGTTAGTTATGAAAATGGACATAGTCTTTAAAGACAGATATACAGAGATGATGTATGATATACGCCAATGATAATGCATTTCTTATTTGCATTGACATGTGATGACTAACCTTTCAGACCTTTTCCTTAGGGATAAGGGAACCAGTAAGGGATAATTGAGAAAATAATTTTGGGGATAATTGAATTGTTTTAGGGAGTAATGAAAGTTCATCATGGTTCTACATTAATTATGATCTACACTTATTTTTCTCCCCTTTACTTTTATTGGTTATAGGATCGCAAGCTGGATAATAAGGTGGGAATATCTTTGCCGCCAAGAAAACCCATTTTACTGTATTCGCAAAACCCACGAGACAACGGCTGCATGGTTATTGTGTTTTTGTTAGCACTTGAGAAGAGTCTTTGTGAAATCGCCGCTTGTTTACACGCGTAAAAAGTCGCCTCTGGAAACGGATTAATCGAGCCTTTGCAATGCCATAACAATCACAATGACTATTGCATCTTTTCAGCTACAGTTATACCTTCTTTAATTCTAACATGAATGTAACTACAAAAATTTGTGGCAAACATTTTTTTTTTTTTCCCACAAAAAGTGCGCGGAAAGGGGCAAGTTTTTCCCCAGCACCTCCCCCTGCGTGTTTCCTGACTTTTAGTAGTAACGTTCTTACAACGTTTAGGGATAAGGGATATGTCCTCTTAGATTTACAAGGATAAGGGATAAGAACCCCCCCCCCCCCCCCCCTCCCCAACAGGGCCTCATTGAACCGATTCCGGGATCATAACAAGTTTGATACCTGTTTTGTGCAGAAATGATTATAGCTGTAGTAGGCCTATTAAACTAGATTCAATTTACTAAACTTCAACTTGATTGCTTGGAGGGCTGTGAGGGGGAGGAGGGGTACTCCCATATTTTGGCTAGATAGGTATGTGACGCACGAAAAAGTATGGTATTTGAGGGTCTTATTCTTCCATACTGAATCAATTTTTCCCTTGTTAGTGTTGTGTTCCCGCCGTTATCAATTGGTTAACATTCAAGAGTCTACAGGTATAAATGCCCAGCTACACGAGAAAAAAAAAAATGGTCTGTTAGCTGAACTTTTTACCTTAGAGTATCATGAAAGCGACTTAATGAAGACTTTTTCGGCGTTTCTTTACTCACGGTCTTTTCTTGGCGTGCATGACTGACAATTAATTTACGAAAAGGCCTTCTGATCACGCAGGGTATGTGTTGCCTTTAAATTCTTAGTTTGTGTGTTTTTTCCTTGAATTGGGTCTCATTTTGTAGGGGTGCGCCTCTGAAGAGCGCGTCCCCGTAAGAACCGACCAGTGATTTCGGATCAAAAAATCAGTTTTCTTTATATTCTGGGATATTAAATTCTTTACATAATTAGCTACAAAAATGCATTTTGTTTGACCGAAAATGCGAAATATAATTTTTTACGAATTGTTGAATTTTCGGCCGGTTAGCACCGACGCAATAGAGCCTTTGAAACTACAAAAATCGCCTACATTGCCGGCGCTACAGAAAACAAACAACTCGTTGAAGAATCCGAATTTCTTTTTAAAACATGTATACGGATACACCACTCCAGATGTCCTAGCCATATCACAGTTCCGAATTATTTATTCATTTTAACTGTATGAATCTTTTTCCTGGCACGTGTCATCAGCCTTCCATCAAAACAAGAAAATAGCTCAACTTTGAGGGGAGTTTAAAAAAGTGTGGCACCCGTCTGAACGTTGCTATCTGTATTAATACAAACTAGAAATGATAGTAAAACGTAAAAAGGAATAAAATTTTAGTTTTTTTTCTTACGTTTTCGAATATGACCGCCGTTTGAATTTCCAGAAATTTTGAAGACCTTATAATTAACGAACACTTGCCTTGTGCTTTGCTCGTGAAAGTCAACTTCACTTGATGGCTTGATGGATCTTACCTTAGTTCTTTTTCATTTTAAGGTTATTTCTTAATCGTCTGAAACTATATTGGCCATTGATTCCGTTTGTTGCAATTTTATCTGGTTTGTAAACCGTTTTGCAAAATGGTCGTAACTGCGAGCGTGACTGGTTTCTGACACCCGACCTCGAGGTCTTTGCTAAAAATAATATTTCTTTCGGATCGACTCCTCAAGATATGGCAGTAAAATTTCTTGGGCAAATAAAACTAATTTCTTTGCAAATGTGACGCGATAAGACGCTAAGAAAGCAATTTAGCCCAGTCATCTATTTGAAATACGTATGCGTAGTTGTATGAGTGACTTTGTATTTCATGCCCAGTCCTCGTGGACTGGACACGAAGCAGACAAGAGGGTCTCAATGGGGTGGTGGCTTTTACGGCTTTCGGCTAAAATTTTGAATCTTTTACGGCTATCGGTTAATTTTTTCAGTTACGGTTAACGAAAACGTTAAAAATTAATTTCTTTTTTGTTTCAAAGAGTTAAATATTAATAAACTTCTATTTTTGTATCTTTAAAGCAAAATAGAGATCTTAGGACCCTCTCGGGGTGAGTTTACAGAAAATGTAAAGGTTTTCTTTCCCCAGGGACAAAGCAAACTGTCCTTAATAACGAGCTGTTGTTGCTGTTGTTCTTTTAACCATAGCGAAGGAGTGTACAGACCGACTTTCTGCTGTGGCCTTGGGAAAATCTACTCGTAGAGATTTTCGACGTTAGACATATTCAGTATGTACGTTGCAGAAAGAAAGAAAAGATATAACGAACCACTTAAAATACGAACTGATATTCGTCAGGGCGGGTCTGTTCGTATGTGTGAGACATAATTGATCATTATTTGGGCTGCAACTGGCTCGAAACTGTCGCCCTTAAGGACGTGTCAACATCTTTTTTTTTTGGGAGCAAGGAAAAGCTAAAAAATGGTCATGTAACACTCAATTTTTGAAAACACAAGTCCCACTCGGTCCGGTAGGCTTTCTACTGCGCTACTTTGCGTTTTCACTTGCTTTTGAGGAGAAAGGATTGGTACAGTTGGTTGTTGCGCGGCCTTCTATGGGAGAAGTCTAAAGGCCGATCCCCAAATGTGACCTCCAATCCCTTTTTCGACTTCTCTCCTTTCCGTGTAGCTTTAAGTAGCTGTAAATACCCATAACAAGGAGCATTAATGGGGGTTTAGAAGGGTGGGTGTAGGGTTCAGGTTTGCTACGAGGATAGTCATGTCTCTTTCGAGGTACGGACTTAGACTGCAAAACAGTCCGTATTTTTGCGTATTCAAGTACGCGCGAGCAGTCAAACAAAAGGTCTGGAATGAGGCTGAAAACAGAGAGCGAGACTGGGGAGAGACGCTAAAAAATACGGTTTTTTTTTCTCGCCTCACACGCCCATAGGGCGTGTGGGCTCACGTCCGCGCGCATAAGACTCTTACGGCACGCTTTACCGATTTCTTTACTGATTTTGAGGAAAAAACCGACTGTTTTGCAGTCTAGTACGGACTAAGCTTTTTACCTTTCCGTTGAAAAAAAAAACTACTCATCAAGTCATGGTAAATGTAATAGTATTCTTAATGCTGATCAGGAGCCCATAACCTGTGCCGACTGAGTTGTCTAAGAAACTGTACATCCAATTTTACATAAAGAGAAGGTCGAGCGAATTTCTCTGCAACGTTTTCCTTAAACCTTTAAAATGAATTGTTCCATTACGTGTTTGATTTTTCCGGTTATTTATTAGCCTGCGTAGTTTTGGTCTGGCGCGCAGTACTAGCTTATAAGGCGGGCGAGGGCTGTGAAACCGCGAGGAGATTGGGGCGGGAGCAATGCTCGTTCGCGCGAGCTTCGCACGACAAGACCGCCATTCTAAGCAGGCTAGTATATTTTATAAAGTAGTTCTGGATTTTTGCTTTATGTAAAATGTGCACGGAAGGTTTTTACAAACTATTTATTTTTTCTGCATCCAGATTTCTAGTATTCTTGAAAGTCAATTTAATATTAATAGACATTTCGCTTTTAGTAGAGAAGATGCACGTGACCCAGGAAACAACGCGGAAATTTGGCAATTTTTCTTAATAAAATCAATTTTTATTCTAAAAGTATTTTTGACACCTCGAATCCTACTAGGGAATAAGACTGTTTTGAGTTTATTTTGCCATCTGTCAATCATCCCGTCATAATCAGTGCAAGTCGCGATTGTGTTGGTCCGAAGAAGTACTTCTATGCTATGAGTCGATATGAGTCGAAAGTTAAGCTCATCATTGTCGTGATACAGCTATTTGCAGTACTTCGGTCAAGACGCAAAAACAAAAATTTGAGGAAAATAAGCATTGCAATTGGCCAGAGGAAATTACTCAGGGAGCGAATGTACAGAAGAACAGATGAAGAGACAATGTATTGTAGCATTACAAAAATTTCTATTCAATCGGTAATTGGTATTACAAATAATTTTGAAGCCTTATGCACATCATTGCTCAGAAACTACCCGTGGTATACCCGTCGCACTTGGATTGAGCCACAGTCTGCAGTCACTGGCATGTCTGTCGTAAATACGCATAGAATGAAGTAAAACCTTTTTGTGGTGATCCACATTAGCGCGGAAGTACATGTTATCCCGGGGAGGTACTCCTGGAATTCTTGTTGGGGGTGTGCCGCCCGGACCCTTTTTCAGACCAAAAAAGGTCATTTCAGTTTGACATTGTTTTTCAGACCTGGCCTCTTAAATCCATACCTGTTTTCAGACCTGGCCTCTAAGAAAGTAGGTCGTCATTACTTAAATTAGAACAGCAACGAGATGGAAAAGAATGAATGAGGGAACAGACATGGAAAAAGAAATATGCATTGCTGAAGTAATAGGGCCAAACGCTGGGTATCAACGATTTAGATCATGCGCTCCATGGTCAGATCGAAACAACAAAAATCCTTCCAGTGACTTGCTTGTTCTTTTGCAGGCATAAAAATATGCGCTAACAAGGAACCTTAAGACCCAGGTTCTTAATCTTAATGCTAACCGCTACCCGATGGAAAAGCTACAAAAGCTACATGAGCTCTTCGGGTAAGAGTTCACGTTTCGTGGCCACGGCCCAGGTACGTTAGCCCTTGCCCTTGCCCTTGTGAATCATTTTAAAGAGCTGTACACTTTTTTATTAGTTTTATTGGGTTTCATTACCTGTACATAATCACGTAGAAACTTTTTTAAAAAAATCCTCGACGTCTTAATCTTGTCCAATGATTTTTCGAAAAACAGTGGGGCCTGGAACGAACTGTTGTAGCGTCACCTCATTCTCTCTTGGTAGCGTTTTAGTGGATTCTCAATTTTCTTCTCTAAAATGTGTTGAGCCAATTTTTTCAATGCATCTACGTTAAAATGAAGAAGTAAATTTATCGATGTATGGCGATTCAAAGGCAATTACCTCTAACAAATAGCGGAAAAAATTTGAATGTCACGAAACAACCGTGTTACGCTCGCGACCAGCAACGAGTGCCATTACTTTTATCACAAACAGGACAAAAAATTCCCTTGGAGGACAAATGATAAGAAAACCAATATTTTAGTAAAAGCGATTGCTTAATGCACAATAGTATCCCGGCTCTACAAACCAAGAAGGACATTACAAACAGCGAAGTTAAAAGAGGAGAATAACAAGGCAAGTGTTCGTTGATTATCTTGTCTTCGAAATTTCTGGAAATTCAAACGGTGCTCATATTCGAAAACGTGAAAAGCACAAAAATTTTATTCCTTTTTACGTTTTACTATCATTTCTAGTTTGTATTAATACAGATAGCAACGTTCAGACAGGTGCCACACTTTTTTAAACTGCCCTCAAAGTTGCGCTATTTTTGGTTTTGATGGCAGACTGATAACACGTGCAAGGAAAAAGATTCTTGCCGTTAAAATGAATAAATAATTCGGGTGGTGTATCCGTATATTAAAAAGAAAATCGGGCTTCTTGAACGAGTTGTTTGTTTTCTGTAGCGCCGGCAATGTAGGCAAGTTTTGCAGTTTCAAAGGCTATGGCGCGGTGCCAGCCGGCCGAAAATTCAAAAATTGGTAAAAAATTATTTCGCATTTCCGGTCAAACAAAATGCATTTTTGTAACTAATTAGGTAAAGACTTTAATATCCTAGAATACAGGGAAAATTAATTTTTTGATCCGAAATCACTGGTCGGTTTTACGGAGACACGCCCTTAAATAAGGTATCAGTTTTCGTTTCTCTCATCCTCAAGTAGGGTCAGTACTTCAGGCCCTCGGAGACAAACATCTATCCGAAATTTAGGGGGGTACCCCGCCTGGAACTTCACACACACTAACTTGATCGAAAAAACTAAAAGTGTAAACAACAAAAGCAAAATATGTAACTAGACACAATAACCAATGGAGATGGATTCCTCGAGGTTATGAATTTTAGCGGCAGAAATAAATAAATGAAATGAAAACAAAATAATAAAGCATTTCTTTTCATCCCGTAATAATCCAATGTAAATAAGAACACATGATGTCGACTTGTTTGACTTGATCGTTTTACCAAGGTACAAGAATTGACATACCTACAACACTCGTCACAATAGCTGGGACAGTAGTGGTATTTTCTACCTCCTTAATGTTGGATTTTGCGAGTTGGAATGACAGGAGCAAAAAAAACAACAACACTGGGAGGGAAGGAGCACATTTTTTCTGTCAGGAAATGGGTACAGCACGGGGTGTCCCAACGTAATGTGACAAGGATTGTAGGTAAACATTAGGTATAACGGCGGGGCTCTCGTGCGCGCGAAAAACAAGCAGCCGGGGACTATGGATAATAAAATTTGGTTATCTATGCATTCAAGGAATTTTAATTGTGACACAATCTTCCCTCCTTACGTCCGCCCTTTCATATTACCGCATGTAAAATGTCACACTCACTTGTTATAAGCGTTAATCTAAGGTATATTCGATTTGTGATTAACTTGATATTAGACATCCACTTGTCAAAATAGGGTATCCGCTAACAACTGTCCGTATCGAAGCCTCAGGTTTACAGCTTTCTTCAAAGGCATTACTTAAAAGATCAAATGAGAGCTTCCTTTTTGGCCCTCGCTAAATCTACATGTTACCTTGGTAAGTGCCACTGAGGAAATAAGAATTGGACTTAAATGAAAGAATTAATAACCCTGTAATCAGACATGGCCTACTGATGGTGAAGAACGCCGCGGGTAAAGACGACGTATCTCATATACTCCATTCGACGGGTATCCCGTCAGGTAATTATAAAGGATTTTACCGCAAAAATTGCTGTGAGTTATTATAATACGGTAGTTTTCACTTTTTTGCGCGGGTATAGTCTGGTCGGGTGCACAGGAAACCAAAATGTGACACCCACAGGCATTTATGTCTGATTTTGGCAACATAGGTATTCTTACTAGCTTGAGTACGCTGATTTTGAAAATCATTGTTGCCAAACTCAGATCTTGTGCTAAGGTGGAGTTTGGGGGATTTTCACTATGACGTCATTGTCCAAATGAGGGGTTTTCTTTCCTTTAACAATTCCAAATTTAAAAGAGACAGAAATTCTTTTAAAGCGTTGTTAGTGTTATAAAAATTATATTCTAAGAATTTCTGATTGTTTTTACGCTGCTTATATTAACATACAGCCATCACGTGACACTTGACCACGCCTTCTTATAGGAAAATCACCTTATCACTTGTATATTTATCACATTGGTAGTCTTTACACTAGAGCCTAAATAAGCTAAGAAATATTTCAAGAGCAGCAAATTTTAATTACTTCAAGTAAAATAAAGCTTCACACACAACCGATTCTTTTTTACTTCAGGTTAACTTAAGGCTATTTTCCCACGCAACATAACTACGATTGATTGACGCGTTTCGCCTTTCTCAAACCTCAAGGGTGCTTACCACTTGACAGAAAATTTCGGAAATTCCGGATGGATGGTAAATGGTAAGGTCACTTTTCGGAAATTCCAACCAAAAATTGAGGAGTACGTTTTGAGGTAGTCCGTTCATTCCAGTTGGTACAAACCAAACGCAATGTTGCTTACCAACTACCAATTTCTCGGTTCCAGACGCATTCGCCCCCTTTTTGGATTCAAACCGTAACGGATGTGGCAACTCTACGGTAAACTGGTAAATCGCTTACCATTATGCTTTCGACACCCCAGCCAGATTTTTCTGTCAAATGGTAAGCATCCCAAGAAACCGCAAGTAAGTCGGTTTTAAGGATGCTTTTCAAGTCGCTTAAAACTTTCTTGAATCGTTTCAACTTTCCAACTTTAATGAAATGCAAAGTAAAGTTACTTGAGATTTTACTTAGGCCTTCACACACGAATTTTTGGTTAAGTAAAACTCAGCAGCTCTTAAGTCTTACTTAACAGCCTAGTGTAAAGACAGCAATTATTTTTTTGTAATGTACTTAGGAATACATATACAACTTTTGGTTTTTCTTGTGCAATGTTGAATCCTAGTTATTTCACAATTCACTTTGGGCCTCAAGCTTGCTAAATGCTTTGTTTTATTTGGGCCTCTTTGTCAACCAGGTACCTGTGTTGCGTGAAAAGTGTCCTTTCCACCTAGTAACGAATGGTGGATGTCAATGTTATTAGCAGTGCACTGTATCAGGAAGTTGTCCGGGTTTAGAACCAGTTAGGACAACAGTGCCATTTATCTCTTTCAAGAACAGACTGTATCTTGCCCCAGTGAGGGGTCCAACTTAAGGATTTGGCTGTTGTATCTGTATATGGCCCTCCTTGTGCAGTAGATCTACTAACAGCGTTGAGTAACTAGGAGAGTACATAATAACTTGTATGATTTAATCCCCCGTATCAGTGCTTAAGAATTCGAACAAGTCTCCAACTTTTCTCATGATGCTTTCCTGTTGATAAATGACTGCGGTATTTGTGTATTGTTTTTTGGGGCTAGCTTATTATATCCCGGCCATACGTCAGATAACTAGAGTATAGTGGCCGAGCTCAAAGCAGATAAAATCATAACGATAACTGCCTGTTGAGATTCCTCTTTCTTTTTGCTGGTCTGGTACTAAGCGCTCAGACACTTTTTGTACCTTCCCGGCCCTTTTGCAGCAATGAGATCGCTGACCTCAGCTAGGCGGAATTTTATTGCATTATCCAGGTTAGCCTGAGTTTCAGACGATTACTTCGAGTCCCTTTTTACTCTTTTGGCAACGTCTGAATCGACCGGCCGCTAATCCCGTCCAGTGTGACGTCACTCCCCGAAAACCGGGTAGTGTTTGATTGGTTGATTCTTGTCCAAACATTCGCAGAATTATGTATAGTTATGAGAAATTTTAGCGGGATTGCAGGGTCGGATGCCTGGCATGTTTGCGTGGAGTTAAAAAAATTCGAAAGCGAAAATTTCTGGGATTTAAGTCTTGTAATTTTCACCGTCAAGTGTAATGATTCTGTTTAACTTTTTTTTCTTGTTTTTTTTTCTTCTTCGTTAAGCAGCAAATAGCTTCTTTTTTTAAAAGCAAATCGTTGTGTTTTTGAAGTGTTCCGTTTGTGTATTTTATTGAGCTTGTTTTATCTGCGTGATTGCGATCGAGTTTGAGTATTGAATTAAACGTACAACAGACTTCGTTCAGAGTACTGCATGCAGTTGACAGTTTAAACGTTCAATATGAATTACATTCAAAAAGAGTAAAGCACTTCTGTATCATGTAGAAATTTCCAGACGATATTTCTTTGTTTGCCGGTTGAAAATCGTGTTTTACTTTTTGCATGACTCAGGAAAATGAGTAGTGAGGTCACTGGACGGTATTAGCGGCCAGTCGATTCAGACCCTACTGAGGAAATAAAAACAACTCGAAGTAATCGTCTGAAATTCAGGTTAAATCCAGATAAGATGATTCAATTGCTGGAACTGAATTGCTTACATTGAATGATGTAAATGATTTGAACGCCTCTCGGTGTTTTCGGATTTTTGGCAAAGTACAGAAAGACTCCATTGTACAGGTGCGACACTTCTCCTACTACTTCGTGCTACTTGCCCTTTTAATGTAGTGGAGGCCGCCTCGTCGTCAAAAGAAATACTTTTAGGGGGGATTATTAGGGACCTTAAGACCCTAGGACGGCGACGGCAGGTAAAACGTCGCTGAAAAAAGTGAATTCGCGTTCTTTCAATCTTCATCGAGATTACTCCAAGTCACTCACTTTGTCAAATGTAGGCGAACCCTCCTAAAGTTGAATTCCTAAGAACCATATCCAAGTTCAGAAAGAGAGAGGAAAGTTCGACGTCGATTGTGTACTTCCTCTGTACATCGTGAAATTAAACATTTTCACGTCGTAGTCGTGCAGTGACGGCAAAGAAATGTACAAAAAAGCGCGATTCAAGTGCAGAATTGTTGTTTTGCTAATTAAACCTATTGCTTTTGTGGCGTTCCCGTTGCCGTCGCCGTCGTCGGATCGTAAGTTGCCTATTTAACATATAGCTTTTCCTTCAGAAGCTCAATTTTCACTTTGTGTATGAAGTCACGATAACAAATTTCTGTGCCATTGTGAGACGAAGTGAGTCATGAGTGGTTAGGCTTTCCACAAGCTACTCGAGATTTTTCAAAAAGTTTCCCGTATTTCTCAAAGAAGTTGCTCAAAAAACAAACAAAAGTTCCTCAAAAGTTGCTCGAAAAAAAAAACAAAAAACTTTTTTTTGGTCTGATGCTAAAATATGCAACTTGTACAACAAAAGTAAGATTTCTAAGCATTTTGTGCAATTTTGAGGTGTAACCAGCGTTGCTAAATAACTTTGTCCTAAATAAAAACCAGAAAGTCTAATGAGCAAATAAAAATGTTGAATGACCTTCCTCACCCGAGACACAAGTCAGTCGAGTGTGAATCTTCGTCCACCATTTTGAATTTCTCTAAAAACAGCTGACCTAGCAGCCCGGCTACTTTTATCTTGCGCCCATGATCTGCCCCAGGAGGGAGGATTTCGCTTCTTTTTCTTCATAGGAAATTCAGAAATTGTTTATTTAAACATTGTGAAATATGGAAGAAAGGCCAATTAGAAGCACTAAAAGCTGCTCCGATATCTCAGATTTAGAAGATAACGCGAGAAGTTGCTCGAAGTACGAGAAGTTGCCAAAAAGTTGCCGAGCAACTTGTGGAAAGCCCTAGGAGTGGTTACATCTCTTACTCTTTCTCTTTTTATTGTCTCTTTATTTTGTTCATCACAAGCACTTTTCCGTGCCTTTGCGCTTCTAGCAGCTTTGCACATCTCTCGTCGGTCCTTGTGGAAAGCCCCTCCGCAGCTCCTTTTCTTTTTAGATGTCTCCATGCACCTACATTTTATTAAGCAGTCCGGCTATCTTAAACTATTTGAACTTACTTGAGTTTCAAAGTTGCCTTGGTCTGGTAACGTATTTAGAAAAGTGCCAAGAGCACGTGCAATCAAAGAATGGCTTATTTCAATATACTTTTTAATTATCTCAGTAAAATTATTACGATAAATATCACATCTTTAGCCATAATTGTGTAAATTTTATATCAAAGGGTGTAGTCAATTGTCATGTGACGCCTCGAAATTCGAAACAGCGTTTCATAAATTCCCTAAATGGTCTTTAAAATTAAAACCATTTCTGGATCTATTTAATTTTATAATTATGGAAGGAAAGAAATCTTCTTATTTGGACAGTGACGTCATAATGAAATGCCCCAAAACTCCACCTTAACACAAGCTTGAGATTGGCAACAACAGTAATTTTCGAAATCAGCGTACTCGAGTTAGTAAGAATAGCTATGTTGCCAAAAATTAGAGGAAAATGCCCGTGGGGGTCACAGTTTGGTGGCCTGTATAGAAAACTTAGGTAACCTTTGAGTCAATACTATGGTCCATGTATTTTCTCGCCAGGAACCGGGAGGATAGATATTCAACATATCCGCAATTTTACAGAATCGTTAATACGTAACAACCAGCCTCCCTAGTTCTTACGGCAGTAAAAATAGTTAAGAAGACTGGTCTGGCTCAACTTTACGTTTTATTGCTATTTGCTTTTAAACTGAGCAAGCAATTTTCTTACCCCAAGGAATGTCCGTGTAACCTCCAAAAACGTATTTACCCTTTTTTATTATGGTAACTGTGTCTCTTTTTCCATCGCAGCGTCTGTGAAACTGTGTACCGACATCCCAGCCGTGCAATGTAGCCCGCCAACACAGTAGCCAGCGAGAATAGTACCCAATTGCAGGCTGCAGAAATTTTCCCAGATGGTACAAATAAGAAGAATTTGTTTTCAATATATCTGAGTCCAATCTGAAGGCTAAAAATAAGAGTAGAGTAACGTAAAGACCTTAACGATTGCAAAAAGAAGTGGTTTCTTGTGTTTTACATGTTCTATCGCTGCTGTAGCTACCTAGTGTCTCTAAAGATGGTACAAGAAGGACTAACTAAAAACCGTTATCGGTCCCAACATCAGCTTCTTCCCCGTTGATCCAGAGACGCAAAGGTTCATTGGGGCGGTAGGGGGACATGGGCTGCTTCTTTACTTACACAATTCTTTAAGACATATGATGTTGGTGTTGAGCTACCGAAATGAGACCAGCATTAAAAGCTACTGAAATAATATTCATTTAAAAACAAAATCAAAAGTACAAACAGCCATGGTCCAAAATGCCAGGCAGGTTAGTTTTAAAAGCTGCAACGTTAATTTGCGCTCTTAAAATCGAAGGAAAACGACGCTTTTCAATTTGGAATGCAACAATAGTGCGCTACAAGTTAAGCGAAAATGTTGCCCGTATTACTTGACCTTAAAGATCATGTCGAAACTTCATGTTCTTATAAAATTGAAACCTAAGGGATTTGCATAAACCTTTCTCGTTTGATTTTTTTTTTCGTTAAAATAGCTATCAACGAAAAAGGGGAAATATCCGCGATACCAATGATGACGATAATGACAATGATTTCACCATTTGATAGACCCCGATCACACAGCGGCCTTTTTTATCAGAGGAATCTACAATCTCAATGTACAGAAGATATTTACCTGTGCAATTAACGCCGTTCCAGAAATATCCTGGCTCTCTGCAGATACATCGAAAGGATCCTTTGGTGTTATGGCATATGGAGCTGCCGTTACAGTTGTGTTTTCCCGTTGCACACTCGTTTACGTCTGCAAAACAGGAGGCGCGACTTTTGGATACCATTCAGTTTGCCTTTTTTCTAAATAGTCGTAGCCCATCAAAGGACTACTGAGAAACAGTTTTCTCTAATCAATCCGATGATTACAGACGAAATTGATTCCAATCTGAGTCCTATTTCTAGTCCTACTACCACTACTAAATGCTGTTCTAATTATGATTATAACAGTGTAATGGGACAGTGCCCGGGGGCAGTGTCCGTCATATATACCTAAGTAATGGTACAATAATCACGCCATGCCGCGTGAGCTCTTCGATGTTGTTGCTGGACTCCAGCTATGTGGTCTCCTGACTGCACTCAATCCTATTTCCCTTATTAAACTATATAAGTATTATTATTCGATTATCATTATCTTTCAAATTACTATTATTATTATTATTATTATTATTGTTATCATTATTATTTCTTGCTTTGTGCGCTGGCTGATCTCATACCTTTGTACTTACTAAGGGAGCGAGTCATAACGCATAAAAAAGGACCCTTAGATTTCGACTCCTTACTCTAGACCTCTAAAACTTTTCTTAAAATCGTTTCCCTTCCTAGTGTCGTAGTTTTTTGGGGGTAATGAAATACTAATTATTATGTCCAACTTTCCAGCCAGTTCTCCAAGTTCTTCGTCACACTTGCGAATGATCCTACAACAATCTTTATCTCCTGCACAGTTTTCGTGTTCCACATCCTTGGAATTTTTTGTTTAAGCTCTAGATATTTTTTAACCTTCTCATTCTCCTTTTCAACAATTCTCTTATCCCCTGGTACAGCAATATCGACAATGGCGCACTCTCTCTCCTGTTTGTTTACAACCACATGATCATGTCTATTGTAGCATTGATGACATGATCACATTGGATGTTCATTATCTCACAGTAGTTTAACTTTATCTTTTTTACTCACTTTGTCAGGCATGTGTTCGTACCACTTATCCTTCTTTTGCACATGTTATTTCTCACATAACTTCCAACGAACTACTTTTGCAATATTGTCATATCTCTGTTTATATTCCCTTTGGGCTAAGTTTTTACATTCACAGACAATATCGGGGGGTTACACTCTCGCCACATTAATTACCTACATAAGGAGGAGACTCGCACGGTCTTGCAGTTAACATGGTATCAGTTACATGGTTGATCCTGAGAGCCTGTTTCTGGCCTGCACAAATAAGTGCTTCTGTTTGGATCTTCGAGTCTACTTTTCGTAACCAGCTCCAAGTTTTCTTACATGTGTTGTTCCGGGTATTCCTCATAAAATTGACCATGCGGCTTTTTTTCTTTCCAACTGTCGAGTTTCTGCTCATTGTTCCAAGATGTCTTAAATCAACCTAACTGACAATTTCCTCACTTTCAGTATACCTTACCCCTTACCCCTTGCAGTAAAACCTCCCAAGAATTCTTCACACACCACCCAAAACTGTTTTACTCACCTCTCACTCACCCCTCACAGCTTATAAGTCGGCCCGACCTCCATCCTCCCTTGATACATACAACCTATCAACATCTCATTTTGAATGGAAAGCACCATTCATTGTCAACACCTTTCTGGTCATTTTATCCAATGTTTTCAGTTCTTCGTTTGCCCATCTTACCTGCTCCATACTTGATCAGCACTGACAGCTGCGCAGGTGTT